CTCCTCCTAATGCACCCCAAGACACCACTGGCCTTCTTGGCCACAAGGGCACATTGTTGTCCCATGGATAACATGATAACATATATAAGCTGAGAAGTGGGCAAGTCTTCCTGCACCCCTTTCTAGGGGACAGAACACTGAAAAGATGTTCAGACACTTTTTTCCTCCACAGTTCTAGCTTACATCTTTGCTGCAATAATCTAAACCGTATTATATTATTATTCCAAAATACAATGAGTCTCACTGCATGCAGCTCCATGGTCTTTTTTTTTTTTTCTGGGTATGAAATAATGTTTTTCTCTATTATGAACCAGAGGGTCATACATGAGTGCAATTTGAATTTTTAAGGCAGAAAAAAAGTTAATTCCCAAGCCACAGCAATGCTTTTGGCATCTTGATTATCTGGTTAAGAAGTAAGAAAATAGGATTATGTTGGTCCTATAGAGTTGAACTAAGAGTGAACTGAAAAATCTTTGCTAAAAGAAATAATACAGCAGAAAATCAGTACTTTGTTAGGAAAAACTGAGAAACCCGAGGCTGTGCCTACGACTGTAAAATGCTGCATTTTATTTGCATGAAGCCTCTGAAAGATTCATGTCTCCCTAGGGGTTCACAGGCTCTGAAAGCTCGTTTCCAGAAGACTCACAAGCAGGGGGCTCTCGGAAGTTTTGATGCAGGAGGTGCAGATACTGCTTTGCAAAGGCAGGAGCAGCATCAAAGCACTGAAGGACTGTTTTGCTGCTTGAAGCTCTCCAGGTAAGGAGCCCCAGTCTCGCTGCATTAATGACTCTGGCTGTGCTGGGATCTGCCCCATGTGTTGGTTGGTGCCTGTGGCTCAGGAGGTGCAACCTTTCTCCCCTCAATTATCCATTCCTTTGGAACTGGGACACTGGTTGTACTTCTGCTCAGCTGGGCCAGTGACAGGAGAGCAGGGCTCTCCTATCCCCAAGAAAGGGCTCACACCCCCCCCACCTTGCCTCTCCGCAGTGAACCCTCCCATCCTCAGCCTGGGAGTCCTTCCCAGACGTGGGAAGAGCTCTGACTGCCACAAGTTCCCAGCCAGGGTGGCAGTTGGTGCCCCAGCCACCTGGTGACAGCCCTGGCAGTGGGACGGGCTGAGAGATCCCCTCTCTTGGCAAAGCAACCCCTGGGGTGCTGGGTGGCTCTGCCAGCCCCACACAGGCTGTGCCAGCCCATCCCCAGTCACCAGGGAACCTCCAGTGATGGAAAAGCTCTCCTGCCTCTGCCAGGCTGCAAGTAATGGAAGGGAAATGGTTCATGTGAAGTCAGCCACATTCCTCCCCTGGAGCCTCAAAGCCCCCTTGCTGCAGGATGGGGACCAACCCCAGAAGAAGTTTGAGGAGTGCTGGAGCTGGGAGAGGCATGACATGAGGCCAGCAACTGCAGAAAGGGGCTGGGAAGAATGAGCACGGGGCAGGCAGGAGAGAAAAGCTCACCCTGTGGTGCTGGGGAGAGGAGAGCCAAGAGACCAGATGGCAGAGATGGGTGGACAGGGGAAAAGAACATCTTGTGACCAATACCTCATCAAGCACTTTTTTTCCAATGGAACGGTAATTGTTAACAGAGCTGCTGTAAAAGCTCAGTGAAAACAAAACAACTGCTTTTCCCTCCTGTTTGATTATGTCTGGATGCAAGAAAATACAAAGACATCCTAATGTACCATGATCTAGTTTGTAAACTTGTAGTGACTCAGAGGAACTAAGTGCTACCATCAAACAACTGCACACCAACCAGAGGCAGAGCAGAGCTCATGCTCCTCGGGTGCCCTTTGGAGCAGCAGCACAGACCCTTGGGCTCTGGGAGGCACTGGGAGGTGGGTCTCAGGCATTTTGCAGATCTGGCTGTCATGATTTCCCTGGAGAGCACCCAGGGCAGGTGGACAGACCCTGCCTTCCCAAACCCCTGGAGCAACAGCAGCCCGTGGCTTCTGCTGCTCTTCAGAAATCCTTCTTGCAAATGAGTGAACATTAAATATGCTCCTGTCTCACAAAGCAACACAATCAGATGACCAATTAGCGTGCTGCTGGCTGGAATGGTGGCTGATAAAATTCAGCTCATGGAAACTGAAATGCAGCCTGTGTGGGATCAACCTCCCCTTGCCTGAACCCCCAACAATGCATTCATCCATGATTTGAGGTACTTCTGTGTGGGGCTCTGTTCTACCCTACTGATAACCAATGATAAAAACCAAATACTACTGAAAAAAAATTTTCTCAGCTCTTATTTTGTGCCACCTCTATTTTAAGTGTCCAGGGATAGCCCCAGAGAAGATTTTAACAGGATCAAGAAACAAACCTATCTGCACAACAGGACTATCTCTATTTTTCCACTTAAAATAGCCCCCACATGCTGACAGAAGACTGAGAGGTGTTGGAGATGAAAAGCAGGAGATTTAAGCCAGTGTGGCTTGTACCATGGACACTGAAAAGAATCAAGGATTCATCAGTTTGACCCTTTTTTTTTTTTTTTTATGAAAAGAGGTGGAGCTGAGGGGTTACCCAGGAGCTCAGCTGGTTGCTCTACCACTGCAGCAGCATGTGGTACCTCTGCATGCTTCAAAACTGTCCTGTTTGCATTAATTTCAGGGCAGAAGAAAACAGCAGCTAGTCTGTTAACAGAGGATTTTGGATCCATTTGTGTGACCTTACAGTGGTTGAAACCATCTCCTCACGTTCCAAGGACAAGCACTGCCAGGGCAAAGCAGGAATCACCCAACAGAAAAACATAGAATTCCCTACAGAAAATTATTTCTATGTTTCTTTAGAACTCTAGTGCAAATTTGTTAAGTTCCAGCTAATTTTAGGGCCAAGTTTGTTTGTTACAGACAGATTAAACTTCTGTTTATCAGATCAGGTCCATCTTCAAGGGGTGCTGATGCTAACAGCTGGGACTGTCAGACTGGATCATGGACAGAGCTCTAGTTGCAGCCTTGTTCACAGCTCCTTACCCTACAGGTAAACACACCAGAGCTGTGATGCATCCTGTGAAAAATAAATGCAGAAATTTAATAACAAGCTTGTGCCTTCCCAGCTTGCAGGATTGCTAGGGATGTCTTTTTCACCAAAAATTACCCCAAAAGCACAAATCTCCAAGTTCCCTTATCACACATCTTGGTCTGATCAATCCCCCACTGAAATCAACAGCCAGATTTCTGCTGACTTGAAACAGCTGGCAAGATAAAATAGCTGTCTATGATAAAATAGTGTTTTGAACATCTATTCTGATACATTTAATATTCTAGCACGTAATTTATTGCCTATTTATTCCAACCAAGTCAGTTGAAGAACTCTGCAATTGAGCTATGGTGATGAATGCTCCTGTAAATTACAGTGTTTTGCACAAATACAGATGCCAGACCAGACACTGCAGTGCAAGTTGTTTCCTGGGTCACTTGCCACCGCTGCCTACGCGGAAGAGGTTGATTCAGTGCAGGAAAAGTACTGCACGTGCCCAACACCTGGGGGTTTGTCAAAAAAAAACAACCTCCTAAATCTGTGCAAAGCTGTTTGCTGCATTGGCAGAAGTTTGGGAAGCTCCTGAGCACTGTACTGAGCTGCCCTGGAGGAGCGTGGCAGTTCTGGCTCTGCAGGTCTCTACCATGGCAAAAGAAACAAGAGGCTGCTCCTCTCCAGGGTGTTCCACAGGAAACGTGTGAACCCAGGCTCTGCCAACATGATTGCCATGGTAGAAGTCACAACAATCCATGGCAGCCACATGCTAACCATGGCATAATGAAATGTGAGACAATGAGACTCGAGCAGTAGGCACAGAGCCTTTGTCCCAGCTGAAAGCTGCACCTGCACCTACTCTTGCTGCTGCCACAGGCTCGCAGGGCACTGTCCTCCCCCTGCACCCCTCTGATCCCAGTCACAGTGACAGCAATTTGTGCACAGCTGAACAGACTGATGGTTTTTCCATTTCTTCCTTATTCAACTGACCCTTGAGAAAGCCTAAAACCCAAATCCTCCAGAGAATCAGCACATGGAAATGCTCACGCTCAACTGCAAAACAACTATTGCGAACGCATCCAAGGAGGCAAGGATTGGGCTGTGTGCTCAGCTTCTCCTTCTCTGTGCACAAAAATAGGATTTTTATTGCCAAATTAGATGTATGCTGTTCCCCAAAGCCTTGGCTCCACACCTCCCGTGCCACCTGCCAGAAGGCTCAGGCAGAATCCAGCAGAGCAGTGAGCTCTGTCATCACCTGCAGATCTTGGCAAACTCAGGCAACTTGGAAGATTTTTTTATCTCCAAAAGGAGATTCACTCTTCTGTATAATATAGTCTGTTTGTAACATTGATTACCAGAACTATGTGGCTGATTGATTGGAAGCTGCA